CCCGACGAGCGCGAGGAGAAAGAGAGGAAGAGCGAGAGATGAAAACCGGTGCGTCTCGTCACTGTTCTTCGACCATTTATTTCCGATTACTGTTAAATCTTACAAAAGAACATATAATACATAGTACAGCTTGACGGTGAATTCATAAAAGTAGACTAAACCTAACTTAATGTTTACCGCGTGTAAACTGCGCTTATCGTAGAGCTTAAACTAATTATACGTACGTGAAAAATCCCCGTGTCTCCCGGGGAGCGGACCGTCCACGAAATTAACAAAATTTACGCGCGCAAATATATATATATATATGTATGTATGTATGTATACTTTATGTACGTCTGTGGTACGCATATCGAACACGCGTGTATACGCGTGGAGGAAACGCAATGGGATGGATACAAATCGAATGAAAGGAAAGCGCATCTGAAAAGAATGTTTGTACGTGTACGTATGTTTGTGTATGTGTACTCGTATGTGTGTATGTATGTGTACGTGCCAAAAGGCGGATGAAAATCGATGAACCCGAACAAAGGGAGATGCTGTGAGACTGGAAAAGATCGACCAATCGCTCGGTTCTCGAGTTAATTACTTATCCTCTAATTAAACTCGCGATCGATTCGTCAACCGTTCCTTCACATCGCGATCTGTCTCTTCCTCCTCGTCGATCAATTTACTAATATCGGTTAGAGAGAAAGAGAGAGAGAGAGGGGGGGAGAGAGAGAGGGTTGAAATAGAGAAAGAAGAATAGAAGGAAAGAGAGAAAGAGAGAGAAAGAAGGAGAAGGGGAGGATCCCATAAAAATTCGAGGTCTCCCGTCTTATTCCGACTTACAGCGACTGATTGGCAGGCGTACTCGCTCATTCATTCACATATCGAATGTTAACGATGAATTAGTTAGTCTATTTGATTTATAGTGCGACTTCAGGCGGACCGTGAATCGTGTACGAGAGATGAGAGTTTCCTAAAAGCTAACACCGAACTTTCCTTATCTTTGGTACGTATAAGAGTTGAATGCCTCGCGATCGGTATCGTTAACGGATTCCGTAGCGAGGAAGAGGGAGAGACAGGGAGAGAAAGAGGAAGAGAGAGAGAGAGAGAATAGAATAGAAAGAGAGAGAGAGAGAAGGATGAAAGAAAGAAAGAGTTATCTTAACACGCTACTTCTTCTTTTGTTTTTGCTGTTTTCTGTTTTTCATTTTATCATCCTAAAGTCTCGAGAATCGTTAACCCTTTCGCTACCGCTTGTGTGCGTGTATCCTTATCCTTTACCCGGAGAAGACGTAAAGTATTTGTACTGGCCTCTCAGAGACGGTAAATTAAGAGGAGAACTTTAACGCGCGCTGCAACCCCGCCGCGTGATATCGAAACGGGATTTACGAGACGGCCGAAGGAGCTGCGAAATCGCACGCGGTGATTTGCGCGGGAATTAATGAGAACGTTAATTATGCGTCGTCGCATGTATATATATATATATATATATATATATGTATGTAAATATATGTGTGTGTGTGTGTGTGTGTATATTTCGCCGTTTGTAATTCGCACGTTCGCCGGGGTGGCTCGCGACGAAACGAACCCTCGCGTTCACCCTCTCAGAATAATCCCTAACGGTCTGTTCCCATCGAAGGGGGGCGGGGGACGGGGGAGGGACGACGACAATTTACTCTCTCGATCTGTACAATTTGCCGGAGATCTGTAGCCCCTCTCTCTCTCGATTAGACGAGTATCCTCCGCCATTTCCCCCGGCGTGTCGCGCGGCACGGTCACGCGAAAGGGTTAAAAGAGAAAGAGAGCGGACTTAACGTCCGTTCGCTTCCGTCCGTCCGTCCGTCGGGAAGCCGCGGCGGCGGCTCGCGAAGCAAGTCGTGTCGTTCGCAGTTTCCAAGGATCTCGCTTCATTGATACGGCTTGTAGGCCCCTCAAAACGGCGTCAGCAATCTCGCAGTGCTTCATTGTGTTGTGCTTATCATTGTACTGTGAAGTTACAAAGAGCAACTCACTTGCTTCGCTTTATCGTTACACAGCGCTTGTGACAATATGAACTTCAAGCACCGAAGTTCGTCATCATCGTGGTACAAAATGATGAGGGAAGTAATCTGGAGTACGTTTCACTTGATGCTCGCAACGCACTTCGCAAACACGAGTCGCCCTCGCCATACAAACACGCCATTTTGACAGACTCCATCTTCTAGGGACACTACTCCCGTCGACATTCTTCTCCCTTTTTTGCAATCTTTCAATTTATTACTCGCGCGTTCCCAGCCGACAACAGGTGCCGTGGTTGCGAAGAGGAGGAGACGACGACGACGACGACGGTGATTTCGCGTGAGAAGAAGGAACAAGAGGAGAGAAGGAACAAAAGTGCGCTTCTCTTCACGCGGCGATCAAGGTCTTTCCGCCACCCTCTTCCCCTTCCTCCTCCTCCTTTTCAACCCTTCTTCTTGGCAGCCCATCGAGGCCGAGGCCCGATGATCCCCGTCGCTGGCTCACTCACCCTTCCGGCCACGACTCCCGGGCAACGGTAATTTATTCCGCTAACGCAAACCGCTAAAGTCCGACCGGGGGGTGGTGGCGTTCGCTGCCGCTGCGCGCGGCCCGACATAATTGTTTCATATACTATATAGACATATCACGTTACTCTATGACAACGCATATACTATGACAAACAACCTCAACATTATCGATAATTCTTTGTGTTTTCATTTCTCTCTCTGTATCATCGTCCCGCGAGGGGCGCGCGGCGCTCCACGTTATCGGTCTCGGTAACTTACCGTTATATCGATAGCGCTAGTCCTTAATCGGTTATACCTATAGATAATTAAATTCCCATGCGTTCGCGGGTTTAGCCGCGCACGGTACATACGGTACATACACGTCGCTCGTCAGTGTGTGTCTTTCTCCCTGGTACTCGCGCGTCTTTCCTTTTCCTCTTTATTTCCTTAGACAGGGTCTAAGTGCAGCGCGTCCTCCTGCCGAGGCGAGTTGGAGAACGACGACGACGACGACGACAACGACGACGACGATGATTGTGCGTCGGGAAAAATCGTGGCAGTGTGCTTGCAATATATGTATATATATTCTTATATGTATGTATATTATATATATATATATATATATATATATATATATATATATATATATATATATGTATGTAT